TTCCCCATCCTGTGCTCCGCCCACCCCCCACCACCACCTCCCCCAGCTACTGCCAGAGTGTAGACAGCAGATAGCTGGTAGTTCTCCCAGCCTGAATAACACCAAGGAGCACAGCACTCACCTCCCAGGGCGTGCTCGGTCATACTGAGGCACAAGGACTCCAGCCTGTTATTGATGTCAGGTTCAGTCACAGGAAGCTGGAATTCTGTAGGGGACAAAGGGTTATATTGGTGACAGGGGTTCTAAGTACAAAGAGAAAGTGTGCACAGTGCTACCTGGCTCCACCTGCCTGGGGGTCTGCTGCTCCGCCCTGGGAGGACTTGGGGGGACTGTCAGGGCCAGCACAAGGGCAAGTTACACTCAGGTTCAACCACCCTCTGAGGTCAGACTCACACAGTCCACTGTCAACGTGGGTGTCTGGAAGAATACTGGTGACTAAGAATAGCTGGTCATACTCAGTCTGTCAGTCCTCTGCTCAGAACTGTCCAGTTCTTTCCCATCCAAGGCAACCCAACCCCTGCCACAGCCTGCAAGTCCCCACATGGTCTGGCTCCTGGTTAGCTCCTGCCCTTGTACAGCTCTCCCCTCCTTCAGTCCACCCCAGACCCTCTTCTGCCCCAGGGCCTTTGCACTGCTGTCCCTCTGCCCAGAATGTTGGGCCTGGGATGTCTCCACGGCTCTCCCTCTCCCTGCCATGCCGTCTCTGGCTCTACTGTCTCCTTAGAGAGGACGTGCTGTTCATTGTATGTGAACAGACCTTTTCTGCCTCCACCCCTTTCTTCTGCTTTACTACATAGCTGTCACAACATCTGACATATGTATTTATTTGCTGCTTCCCCCAGCTGAAAGTTTGCTTGATTGGAACAAGACTTGGCTCAGCTCCCTGTGCCTAGACCAGGCCTGGTGCATTTCTGCTTCGTTACAAGGAGCAGGGCATGGAAACCATAGCATGGAAAGAGCCTCTTCTGAGTCTGAGACTGTGCTGGGTGCCTGATTCCCAGGTGGGGCACAGGGAGGCTGAGGGACCCGTCAGGGTCAGCCAGCTTACACGGACCTGGGCCAAGAACCCACAGGGGTCAGACCCCAGAGCCGGTGCTGTCCCTGTCAACACTCAGCCTTAGGCTGAGCTGTCTGCTTTGCGGGTCCCACTGCCCAGGACAGTGCTGCGTGCATTCTAACCACAAAGCCTCCTCCAGGATCTGGATCCTCCCCGTCTCCCTTGGCTCCAGCCCCTGGGGTCATCCTCCTCTGTCTTCCTGGGGCCCCCACTGTCAGCCTCCCCGTCCCTTATCCCCTAGAGCTCTCGAATGTTCTGGACTAGCGTGGAAGTGCCTTGCAGATAGCGACGATACTTTCATGGTTCTCTGAATCTCCCATAGTACCCTGGCATGGCTTTCTGCACACCTCACACATGTCTACTGAGTGATCAGAAATGGAGCAAGAAAAGAAACTCTGACAGCTGAGAACTGAAATCCTGTGGCACGGAGGCAGAAAAAAAATCAGTGGGATATGTTCTCAGAGCCTGGGAAGTCTCAGCACCGCCACTGCCTCCACAGGTGACCCTGGGACGCTGTTCTCTCCTTTGGGCTTTAGCTCTTCCACCTGTAAAGGATCCTGTGTCCAAATGTAAGGCCACGTCCTTGCTCCTTTACATCTCCACCAGGGGGCGCTCAGGGCCAGGGCCGGGGATTACAAATGAGTTGGTGGTTTGGTGGGATAGGAAGTTGAAACCAAGGGCTAAACCAAAGTCTTTGTTTTCCTTGGTTAGCTGTACATTTAAATATTCTTCGCAATCTGGGTCCCCCATTACCAGCTCATTCAGAGGCAGATGTCGTTTCCATTGTTCAAGCTTTAAAAGAGAAGGTTGGCAAAATGGACCAATGTAAAAAGCACTGGGGAGCAGATAGGGCTCTTTCTAACACAAATTCCAGCACCAGTGGGTGTGAAGGTCAACTGTGCCAGATCATGAGTAAACCGAGAATGCAAGGGTCTCCCCCACCCCCACTCACAGGCTGCTCTCAGAGTAGGGTTGGGCAGTTAGACAACCCAGGGGGAAGAGTATTTTAGTATTTTCACCCATTCATGTGAAAATCATATGCATGCAAAAATTAGCAGCCTTCAGGGTGTGAAATCTATAAAAGAGAAACACAACTTTATATATAGCTAGTTAGCAAATATGAAAAAAAGAAAAAACAACAACCCCTCAGCAATTACAGCCATCCATATGCTCACTGTAAAATTTAGTTTACTCTCTAGCACTTCCCTTTAAACAAACACTGTGGAGAGATTTGGATAAATAAAGATGCTCGACATTTGGAGAGAAGTGTTTCAGCTGCAAGATTCCTTGCCAACACGCAGCAAAATGCCATTTTCCAAGCCTGGGATAGCGTGTTCCAAAAAGGGGGCTGAGGAGTGCGGGACTCTACGCTCCAGAGTCTCCAAGCCTCAGTGGCTGCTCTTTTAGGCTGAGAGTTGGTGTGCTGGCTTTTCATTCTCCAGCTCCTCCCTCTGGTGTGCTGGGGAGTCGAGACCCCCACCACTCTCAGAATGGCTCTGAAAAATTCGAAGTCTTGGGAGGAACACATATGTTCACACTCTTGAGTTTCCTAATAGTGTGACTTTTTAATTGTGTATTTGATAAAAACAGATCTGTGGCATCTCCTGGCACATACAAGATAGAGGGAGACTAGACAGCTTCCATCTCAGGCTAGGAGCCCTCAGCCATGGGTAGCTTGGTGGGCAGAGCTCTCAAAACCCTAGAGGAGCATTTGGGCAGCTCCTGCTCCATGGCCCACAGTAACCACCAGGCCAACTCTCGCCATGGCTCCTGCTATCCCTAAGGGCTCATCACAGTTATCCCGGGCCCCCAGCTGTAATGGACCAGTCAGATGTAGTTTCTAGTCCTCTGAAAGGCATAGAGGAAGGACTCTCTGCATCTGAGTCCTCTCTGCTATTGCCCAACCAAAGCAGGCCTATTTCTTCAACTCAGATGCCATCTCTGAGCACTAGAAATTCTTTCCTCACCGTCAGATCGTCCCAGTATTCAGCTAGGCTCCCAGTTCTAAGATGCCCAGGTCTAGGCTGACATGGAACTTCTTTCTTGTGCTTTTTCAGAAGTCCCACAAGTACAGAGCCTCGTGCTCAGGCCCGGGTCAAGAAGAATCTAGAAGGGACTGGGGCTGCCCATCCTTCATGAGGTGCTGCTGCAGGGTCCACCTGGGGGAGCCCAGGTGGCTTTTTCCTTGGCAGAAATAGGCCATTCCTGCTGAGTTTCATGTCTGTGGCATCTGAGGTGCAATTTTGCATCTCTCTCAAGGCACTGAGGCTGAGGTAGGAGGCCAATTGCTTAGGACTTTAGAAGAAGAGGTTGGGCATTTTAGGAGAAAACCTTCAGAACCCCACTTGGCCACTGACAGCTGGGGGTTACTCTGCCTAATACCTAGAAAGGCTTTGAAAGCCTGGTGAAGCGAGAAGCAGGGCCCCTGGAAGGAAAGAAATCAGGAAAGACAGGCTGGCGAGGAAGGGACAAAGAAAGGGAAGTGGGACCTGGACCACTGTGATTGGGGGGAAGGGAGCGGTAAGGAAGGAAGGGAGACAAAGCCAGGAACCAAGAGGAAAGGGGGAGGATGTAACAAAGGCAGAGAGATCAGTGTGGGCAGGAAATGCAGTCCACGCAGCAAGCAAGCTGGTAATCACAGGGAGGTCTTGGCGGGTGAGAGAGGAACGTGAGTGATGAATGAGTTGCACCCCTGAATCTGCTCCGGGGGCTGAGGCTTTTCTTCATTCCTAAACCTGCAGAGGAAGTGCTGTGGGAATCCACAGTGTCATCAAAAAAGTGACAAGTAGAGTATGGTACAAGACAATATTGTACCATCTCGCCTCAAGTCGGCCTCTTTGAATTTGACTTTGAGATGCAGGCGGGCGCGGGCCCAGCTGGGCTCTTGGCTGAGAGAGAACTGACTCACCAACCTCCCGAGCAGGGCCGTCTGCCTTGCTTACTAGAAGGCAGGGAACAAATGTTTATTAAGTACTTTAAGTGGGTCCCTATTCTGGCCGCCCCCTGCGCTCCGCTCCCCTCGTGGGCCCGGCGCCGACGCCCTCTCCCTCTCCCCACTCTTGGGCAAGGCAGCCTCTGAAAGGCACGGGGAAAACCCACTCGCGCTCACCCACGGAGGGAATGAATGGGAACGCCCCCAGGTAGGCAGCATCTAAGGGCGGAGGAGCTCCAACCACGGGCTGGCGCACAGGGAGGTCTGCTGGGAACAGGAATGCCCTCAACCACCTCCCATCTGGGTGGCGCAGCACCGAGCGTCATCTGCACGTGGCTTCGAGCAGGGGAGGAAGGATATCCCCAGAACGCAGCCCGCAGCCCCGTGAGGCAGCCAGCCTTCCCCACGCTCGTCCTTTGGAGCCTGCCGGCCATCTGCCCTTTCTCTCGCAGGCCCTCCAGGTGTCTGGAGCCTCGGTATCCCGTTGTTGCTCCAGGGCTGGATCCCAAGGGTGGCTGAGGCGGGTCAAGAGGAATAGAGCTGCTTCCAAGATAAGGGGGCATTCGGCAAGCAGGGTTTTTTCCCAAAGTAATTTTCCAGCTAGGAAAACACTCTGCCTCTCTGAGGATCCTGAGCACTCTCAGCGGGCGCCACGCTTGTTCTGAGCTTGTTTCCTCCCTGGTGAGTCCATCAGACCCTGTCCCCTCGCTCTCAGAGGACCAGCTTAGTGTTTCCTACTCATCCCCGAGGCCAGAAAGGGGCAACAGTCACCCATGGCTCTCCTGGCTTGTCCTGGGAAACATCTAGAACCTGTCCCTGTGGGAAAAAGGAGAAAAGCACCCTGACATGGCCTCCAAGGGGTAAGACTGTGGATCCGGGAGAGAGGAGAGCATCCTGCAAACCCAAGCGAGGTGACCGATCAGTGATACACAGCTTGGGGCTGGTTCCAGCCCCCAGCCTTTACTATATTCTCTGAGATATTTAAAGTCTTCCATCATCTTAACAGAATTATTTTATGTTAACAGAATAAATAAAAGCTCCTTTAGAATACACTGTAGTCTTCAAGATTTGCCAGAGGATTTAAATGGAAGCTTTGAAGACACTGCAGGGCCAGGAAGAAAAGACTGTGTTCTACTGTAGCACAGCTCTCTGAGCATTTGATTTTGGGTTGGTCACATGTCTCTATTCCATTTTGTGTTCACTGTACTGCTGCTGTGTAAATACGAAAGCCACTTTCAGCCTTCCTGATTCCTGCCGCCTGGTGTGATGATACTTATAGTCTGCCCTACCCCGGCCACCACTCCGACACACCTGGATGTGCTGCTGGAGGGGAAAGGCTCACCTGCAGAGGAGGCCCAGGGCCCCGCCCATCTCTGAGACCCTGCCTCTGGAGGGGGAGCCTCTGTCTGGGCCTGGCTGTGGCAGTGAGAGGGGCTCCCCTGTGGAGGATGCCTCCTCGGGAAGAAGGAGGAGTTCTGACAGTGACTTGCGGTCTTGAAAACCAGCGTCTGATCTGCAAAGGCAAGGATGCGCTTGTGCGCTGGGCAGAGGCTGGGAAGGGCATCCCTGTGCAGGCTCAGTGAGGGATCCTGGGCACGGCTATGCCCTGCCTTGCTTTTCCTGACCACATCCCAGCAACAGCCACCCAGCCTGGGCCGAGTGTGCCGGGAAGGACTTAGGAATGGCCCCTGCCAGCACTCACCACTGTCTGTGCAACCGGGAAACATGGAGTAGCCCTGCCTGGTTTCTTGGCTGTTATTAGAAACGGTGCGGTTCATTAGGGCCTCACTGGAAGTGCGTTTGCAATGCTTGGGCAAGAGGCTAATTAAAAAACAAAACCCTAACGGTTCCAGCATCTAAGTCCGGTACGCAAAATACGTTATCTAGAGACTTGCAGGTCACTCCCAGGAGAACTAAACACTAACTGTTATAAGTAGATGCCCCTGGGAGACGGGACTGTGGGCCTGCAAGGGGAGGCGGGGGGACAGTCAGTTTTCTTGGCGAGCCCTTCTGTATTACTTGATTCTTTAACTATGGTAACGAGAGTCTTCATGGGAGGAGGGTGGAGACGGTCGGTCTTAGGGTCACAGGTGTCCTGAGCATGAGCAAGCCGCTCAGCACTGCTGTATGACAGTGGAGGGAAACAACAGTGCTGACGGGGGATCCACGCTGTCCTCCCAGGGGACAGGAGGCCTGGTCTTCCCGGTGAAGCCAGGAACAAAGAGGAAGACTGAGGACTCGGAAGAGAGCTGCGGTATTAGGATTGGAGGGGAGCAGTCAACTATGCGAGGACTCCCCTGAGCCACGGGGTGGCTGGGCTACAGCCCTGGGACTGAGGTCAGGGTGGGATATTTGTTCAAGGTCACAGACCTCATGCCCAGGATGCCTTCAAGCCCTGTCCAGGTTCTCTGCTATTGGGAATGGATTATACATAATTTGGCATGGTAATAGGCTGGGACTAACCCCGGGGAGAAGACCTTTACAACCCCTGAATTTTACCAAGTATTTCTGCCTGGGAAGGAAAATAGCAACAGGTTATCAAAATGGAGAAAAGGAACCTTAAAACAAAAGTGTGCCAATATGGAGTGTTCTCGAAGTCAAGAAGCACCTTTAAACAGGCACCTGGACCACGCGGATGCCCCTTCCTTTCCTGACACGCCTCACCCCACAGCAGCTCTGCACCAGCACCCTCCTCTTCCTCAGTGGCCCCCCACCCTCACCCTGCCTCCCCTTCGCGCCTCCACCCACACCCTCACCTGAGCCCCTGCTCAAAACCTTCCACAGATTCCCCCCGGAGAGCGGCTGGCTCTGAGCTCCTTGGCCTTGGATTTAGAGGCCCCACCACCAGGCACTATCTTTCCAGCTCCCTTGGTCTCCCCCGCTGCTACTTCAGCCCAGCGACGGCGCCCAGGACGCACATAGCCCTCGGTACCGCTGCAGTCTTGCTCCCCGGTCCCTCTGCCTGCAATGTTCTCCTCTTTCCACCTCTTCACCCTCTGTCCTCTGAAGCGCGGCTCCAATTCCAAGCAGCTTCCTTGCCCGCCCAAGGCCACAGGGACATTTCCCCTCCTAAACTCCTATAAAACTTATGCACAGAGCGAGCACATCTACGGCCGAGGGTGGGCATTTTCCTGCAGGTACATGTCTGATTTGCCACCTGGAGGGCCATCTAGGCAAGTGCAGTGATTGCTTGTGTGGCTTTGCATTCTTTGTGGAGGCTAAGAGGTCACTGTCTACGTCGAGAAAGGGTGCAGGCATTTGTTGGCCACACATAATTCTGGCTGCCCTGTTTTAGGGAGTGTGGTGAAAGGTGAAACGGACTTGAGTTGCACCAAGTTGCTATGACCAAGTAACGGGAAGATGGCCAGTCATGTCTGCAAGGCACTCCCAAACCAGGGGGAGGGCGCTTAACATCAACGCTGTCAAGTCTTCCTTTTATCTGTCTTACTCTCTACACTGCCTGCCCCCACGACACATGGAACCCCTCCCATCTCCCCCAAAGCCTTCCAGTGGTATCTCTGCTTTAATCAATCTGGAAATATGACTAGTATCAAAAATATCCCCGTCAGATTGCAATGACTCCGGGGCTCCCTGTGCTGGCTTCCAGCCAGCCAGCCAGCCGCTATTCATGCTGGCAAGGCACAGTTTAAAAAAAGAAAGGCTTCTATAAGCTTGCAAGAATGCGTGGTGACAGTCGGGGCTAAGCACGTTCCAGCTGGGTTCACCGGGGCATCTATTCTGGCGTCCTGGCCTCGCCTGTGCCAGGGGAGAGCAGAGAGCAGGACCACGCTCCGGGCCTACCTGGCTGCTGGAACATCAGCATGTTCTGGGGAGAAGTGTGCACAGGCAGGGAGCGGGTCCTCTGGACCGAGCTGTGGGTGCGGCTTGGCATGCTGTTGCTGCCCCCAGGGTTGGCAAACCAGAGGTTCTAGCGAGGAATACAAAAGGGAGACGTTAGTCCAGACACCCT